GAGGGCAGGTGGGCGGGTTTGATGGGGGCTTTGTAAGGATTTCTCCCCTCCCTGGGCTTGGGAATTTTTTTTTTTTTTCCAAAAAATAAAAATGACCACTCTCCTTTTTATTTTTTTTTAAATGGCCGATCCTGCCCTATAAAGTTAAGAACCCGAACCGAGCACACCGGTTTTGAACCCTCCTGACGCTCGAACCAATGCTGACCACTGCTGACGCCCCAACCGAACCCTACCTTCTAAAAGAGGGTGGAAAACAAAACCATTTTTTTGGGGGGCTCTATATGGAAATGAGCTTGGAGCTATTTTAACATTATTTTTTTTTATCCATAATTCACTAACTTCGCGTTTGTTAGCGTGTTTCTCTTGAAATCTTCGAAAGTCTAAATGACCCACTTCCCATCATCCTATCGAGCTGAATCTTTTGCACATAGCCTCCTTGTCGATGACGATATATTTTCTTTCAAATTTTCAGATCCATCTCCCCCCCCCAACCCCCCCCAACACCCCCCCCCACCCCCCCACCCCCCCCCCCCCCTCCCAACAATGCAAAAAAAATTTAAAATTCAGTTTTCATTTCTCTTGTTCACGGGGGGGGGGGGGAAGATACATGAAATGTGATTTGTTCAATGGGTGCGTGTTTTGGTGTTGAGATTAATTGTACAGCTGTGTGCTCTGCATTTGAGGCGCAGGTCTATTGCGGAATGCAGTAAATGTAGGCAAATGCAGGCAATGTGAAACGTGTTTTGGCCAGAAGCTTGCCCATTTATTATAAAGGAGATTGTTTCATTTATGATAAAATTGTACGTTTTCTTTAAAAACACTGACCATGAACACTTGCAGTGATTCCGTTGTTACGGCTAAGTTGACTGTTGACGAATCTAAATGCCTTGAAGCACAGTGCAATGAAGAGCGCGCGCGCTCGATGGGGGCTATTTTAATCCGTCCAATCAAAGGTCGTTATGGACACACCCACACCCCCCTTCCCCCCTCCCCCCCCCAAAAAAAAAAATAATAATAATAAACCCGCGTGGCACGTCTCACGTAAGAAGTAGCTGTGAAATCATCGTCCAACGCTTAAGTAGCCACTACTCGTGACTCATGCCACGCATTGTATTCTATTCCTTTGGGCTTTGAATACAATACAATGTATATTTACCACAGCGTACTAAGGTGTGTTACACGGGCAATCTCCAACGAACACATCTAAAGTGCTTTAACCGTGAAATCTCCAACGAACACATCTAAAGTGTGTTACACGGGCAATCTCCAACGAGCACATCTAAAGTGTGTTACACGGGCGATCTCCAACGAACACATCTAAAGTGTGTTACACGGGCGATCTCCAACGAACACATCTAAAAAGTGTTTTACACGGGCGATCTCCAACGAACACATCTAAAGTGTGTTACACGGGCAATCTCTAACGAACACATCTAAAGTGTGTTTCACGGGCGATCTCCAACGAACATTTCTAAAGTGTGTTACACGGGCGATCTCCAACGAACACATCTAAAGTGTGTTACACGGGCGATCTCCAACGAACACATCTAAAAAGTGTGTTACACGGGAAATCTCCAACGAACACATCTAAAGTGTGTTACACGGGCGATCTCCAACGAACACATCTAAAGTGTGTTTCACGTGCGATCTCCAACGAACATTTCTAAAGTGTGTTACACGGGCGATCTCCAACGAACACATCTAAAGTGTGCTACACGGGTGATCTCCAACGAAAACATCTAAAAAGTGTGTTACACGGGAAATCTCCAACGAACACATCTAAAGTGTGTTACACGGGCGATCTCCAACGAACACATCTAAAGTGTGTTACGCGGGAAATCTCCAACGAACACATCTAAAGTGTGTGACACGGGCGATCTCCAACGAACACATCTAAAAAGTGTGTTACACGGGCGATCTCCAACGAACACATCTAAAGTGTGTTACACGGGAAATCTCCAACGAACACATCTAAAAAGTGTGTTACACGGGCGATCTCCAACGAACACATCTAAAGTGTGTTACACGGGCGATCTCCAACGAACACATCTAAAGTGTGTTACACGGGCGATCTCCAACGAACACATCTAAAGTGTGTTACACGGGCGATCTCCAACGAACACATCTAAAGTGTGTTACACGGGCGATCTCCAACGAACACATCTAAAGTGTGTTACACGGGAAATCTCCAACGAACACATCTAAAAAGTGTGTTACACGGGCGATCTCCAACGAACACATCTAAAGTGTGTTACACGGGCGATCTCCAACGAACATATCTAAAGTGTGTTACACGGGCGATCTCCAACGAACACATCTAAAGTGTGTTACACGGGCGATCTCCAACGAACACATCTAAAAAGTGTGTTACACGGGAAATCTCCAACGAACATATCTAAAGTGTGTTACACGGGCGATCTCCAACGAACACATCTAAAGTGTGTTACGCGGGCGATCTCCAACTAACACATCTAAAAAGTGTGTTACACGGGCGATCTCCAACTAACACATCTAAAAAGTGTGTTACACGGGCGATCTCCAACGAACACATCTAAAGTGTGTTACACGGGCGATCTCCAACGAACACATCTAAAGTGTGTTACACGGGCGATCTCCAACGAACACATGCACACCCGTCAAGCTGTGCTCCATCTTTCATGCCCTCGGGTCTCGTGATACACGGGTGCGAGTTTAGACGTGGCCTTGATTTTTAAAGAAACTATGCAAACTGTAACAAAAAAGAAATCCGGGGAACGACGTAGTGAGTGGTGTCTTGAGAAAGGGTGTCTGAAAGGTGTTACTTTGGTCTTCTGAAAGAGAGGTGTCAACTGGTGTCTGAACAGTGTTTCTTTGCTCTTCTGAAAGAGAGGTGTCAACTGGTGTCTGAACAGTGTTACTTTGCTCTTCTGAAAGAGAGGTGTCAACTGGTGTCTGAACAGTGTTACTTTGGTCTTCTGAAAGAGAGGTGTCAACTGGTGTCTGAAAAGAGTTACTTTGGTCTTCTGAAAGAGAGGTGTCAACTGGTGTCTGAAAAGAGTTACTTTGGTCTTCTGAAAGAGAGGTGTCAACTGGTGTCTGAAAGGTGTTACTTTGGTCATCTGAAAGAGAGGTGTCAACTGGTGTATGAACAGTGTTACTTTGGTCATCTGAAAGAGAGGTGTCAACTGGTGTCTGAAAAGAGTTACTTTGGTCTTCTGAAAGAGAGGTGTCAACTGGTGTCTGAAAAGTGTTACTTTGGTCTTCTGAAAGAGAGGTGTCAACTGGTGTCTGAACAGTACTACATGATGTCTGGCCGGTGCTGTGGGATATCTGAATGGTGCCATAGAATGAGATCCGAATGGTTGCTCCATGAAATCTGAATTAACAGTGTGTTTAATGATGTGAATAAAATTCGTTAAATACAATCGAGTGTCTACTGTGTGGAAAATTCACCCCAAAGGAACTTCTACTTTTTGTTCATGGTCATGAGGACAGGTCGCTAGAGGGAGAAAAAAAATGTATCTACACTCCCCAACACATGAAACTTTGAAAGGGAGAAAACTCAGGAAAAAAACTACTTTTGCTCGTTTCGAGATTGTGATTATCATTATCACCCCTTTTTTCAAACACACATTTAGGGGTCCTCCGCAAATTACGTCACGCAAAAAAATGACATTTCCAGACCCCCACACCCCTCCTGCCACAAAGTGTCACAATTTTTTACCCCCCCCCCTTTTCCCAACCAGTGTTACGTCACACCTAAAAAAAAATTCAAAACATGCACACAATTTTTTAACTAAACTAAGATTTGATTTTATTCTTTAACATTTCCCCATAATGGATTAAGATGTAGTATCATTAGAAAAGACTGTGACGTAAATCGCAATAGAACGAAGTAGTCCCAGAGCCGAATGTAAAATGGCCACAACAGTTTTTGCTTCATTTTTTTTATATGTGTATTAGGTGTGCGCGACTGCGTTTCATGGTACTTATAATAATTTTAAAAAATTATGACCCTACTTATAATAACCTGAGGCAATTTTGTTAAAATTTAAAAAAAAAAATGTTTGACTCTACAAATTTTTAACCCCCCCTGTCCCAAAGTTTCACAAATTTTACCCCCCCCCCCCTCTTTTACCCCCGAGCGTAACGTAATTTGCGAACGACCCCCTTATCGGAAAATCCCTCACCTTTATTGGACATTCGAATAGAGGTTGTCAGTTAATTGCACAATTCTGTTAATAGAACGGAACATCCGGGCATTCAGTTTGGCCAATGTCATTTAGTGGCGGAAATATTGTAATAACGCATCCGGTCATTTTGGGGCATTCCGTTTGACCAGGCTCTCAACAGCCTCTACGTTCATGTGAGTCTGTATTGTGGGCCATAACGTAGACCAAAACTTGATCACAACTGTATTTTACGAATATTATTTTACCAACAAATCGTTACTGTTACATTCATTCCAAAATACATTGTTTTCAGCCGTCTTAGTAGGTAAACCTTGTCTCAAACAACAGCAGCAGTACGTAATACGCTGTAATTTTTTTGTCAGGTCTGAAGAATGACAAACACTATTAAATTGTTTTATTATTATTTTTAATAAAGTTCTTTTTTTTTAAATTTTAGAACTTTATAATATTTATGCAGTTATAACAAAATTTTTGAAAGGACAGGGAATTAATTTCCAGGAGTGATTTTAAACACCCAACACCGGTATTGTCTAAACTGTCACCGGTAACTTACCTTTGTCTTTGCTTTGCGAATATCTTCTCTTTTTTTTTTTCTTTTAACGTTCCTAATGTAATCCTATTTTAATTAATGCCTTTAGGGGGTTGATGGGGTTGTCTGGGGGGGGGGATTGTTAGGAGGATTTCGGGGCTAATGGGCTTTTGGGCGGTGTCGAAGATGAGGCTCGCGAGCACTGTTGAAGGTTTAAGCTATCTGACATTTCCTTAACACAGCGTCAATGAAAGAGACGAATGGACTGTCCACCTGGTCAGAGCTTGACCATAAGCTAGCAATAGACTGATGGACAAACCAACATATATTTTTTTTCTTTTTTTTTTTTTTTTAGCATTTGGTCACAGATGGGGTCGTTGAAAGTCATTTACACGGTGGGAACAAACTAATATTACATCTTAAACAAATACTGTTTCAATTTCTAAAAAGTGTAACATCTCGCAAATTTAAAAAAAAAATATTTTTTTTAAGGAACTGAGAGACACGAAATGGCACAGAAGTTAGACCAAGTGGTGGGTCCCCCCTGATGGACACCCAGGCGAGTCGGCAAACCTATCCGAAGAGGGCCGGCTAGAAAAGTTTCGTCGGGCTCCGGGTGGAGGGGAGGGGTGGATTTACATTGCTTAAGTCAGGGTAGCGTGTATGTATCATGTATGTATCATGAATGTATCATGTATGTATCATAGGAGCATAACCACACATTGTTATTATATTAAAAACCCTTGTAGAAAAAATAGCGTCCTTTTTCGATTCAAAATGCAACATCAAGCAATATATATTGTTTTGTGTGGGTTCTTTTTTTGTCTGAATTAGATTACCTTGATTCAAGTGAGATCCCAAAATACACATTTTTTTTTAGGAGCCCACCTGCAAACGGTACTGAGTCCAACCAAACTCATTTTTTTCAGGAAAGTGAATTTTGTGTTACAACTTAACGAGCATTTGGAAGGTTGCTCTACATTTTCTAGTTCAAATAGAGGCATTTAGAGCCTTCTGAACGTTAAGATTTAGGCAATAGATTAAGAAAAGGGCACTAACTCATTTTTTTCTTCAAAAAACGAACTTAGTACCATTTGCAACTGGGCTCCTCCAATATTGTTGGATTGATGGGAGGGGGGGGGAACCACATTTGAATATTCGTCTTTGTCCATGTGTCTGAAGCATAAAACAGAGTTACCCTCATTAACTTGGACTCAAAAAGAATTATTCTTTTCTTTTTTTTTTCTTTTTTTTTTCTTTTTTTTTCACAATGCCTTCACATCGGATTCAGACTTGCAATCTGGGATTCGATTCGTTTGAATTTTTTCGTTAAAGTAAATTTTCCAAACAACTCCGCTGTTGAGGGCGTGTCTTTTCACTCAAGGTCATCTCAGTCTTATTTGTCCGAATGCGACATGATGACGTTTTCACTCTTACGCTGATCTATGTTTCTATGAATGTATACATTTATAACGCTATTATTAATAAGTTTTTCTTTTGGCCGGCCGGATGAATCGCAGCCGTGGGCCGGAACCGTCACGCGGGCCGTAGTTTGCAGACATGCACCAACCTCCTGACCAAAGTATCGCTATCTTTGCCACAGTCTTACTGACACCGATTCCACAGGGTCGTCTCTATCATTCCAAGGGCGGCAAGAGTGATAACCAATGACACCGTGGGTAGGGTTGATCCATTACGAACGGGTCCAGGTCGATCGTCTTGGCGTTCTTGGCTGAGCTCTGCATTCCTTGGCGCGCCGTCTGCTGACCTCCCCTCAGCTTCCACGGGGCTCAACTGGTTCGCGCCGACCACGGGTCCCCAGGTTGAGGAGGTGGGTCTTCCGGTTGTGGAGATGGGTTTTCTTGTTGTCAAGTTGGGTCTTTTGGTCAGGCCTGGGTTGCTGCTGCCAGCAAGCCCCGGCTCGTCTCCGTCGCGGTTAAAGGTCGAGCCAATTGGTTTCTCGCCAGCCGTGTTCTGTCGTGTGTCCGCGTAGTCCGAATCGTCACCCCCGGGGGTGGGTTTTTTACCCGGGGCATTCTCTGCATCACCCAGGGGATCGGCGTCGTCTCCCGTGGAACCGGTCTTCTTGCCCGGAACACTCTGCCGGGGGTCCACGTCGTCCCACGAGGGGATCGGATTATTGTTGGGAGAGCTGGATCCATCGTCGGCGGAACCGCCTTGCACGGTTGGTTTACTGCCAGTGGCGCTTGGCTTGTTGCCGGTGGAGCTAGGCTGAAGACCAGTGGAGCTCTGTTTACTGCCAGTGGAGCTTGGTTTGATGCCGGTGGAGCTCGTTTTACTGGATTTTGGCTTCGTTGCCAGAGCGTCACTGGGACTGGCTGTAGAGAAGAAGGAAAAGGACAGAAAGAAAGTATTTACAACAATGCTGCTTCAGTGCCTGATCATTTAAACTCTTCTTCCCCAAAATTTGGAGATATATATCTTTTACATCACATCCTATTTTTATGTCAAGGAATCAGTGGCGCAGCTAGGGTTAATGCCGCCCTGGGTGGGTGTCAAGATTTTTGCCGCCCCAATTCACGAAACAAAATATTCTTTTGGGCTGAAAATGCCCCCCCCCCCCCCCCATCATTTGCAAGAAAAAGGGAGTTTCCCGGGTGGGACCACCACACTTTTCCTACGCCCCTGCATGGAATGCACTACATTGAAAATAAGAATTTAAAAAAAAAAACTAGCTTAAATATCAAATTTATTTCGCTTTTCAGTGATTATTTCCTACGCACGACTGCACTAGTGTTGATCGAAATTTTCTCATTTAAAGCGGAAGTTGTGACGTCATTTTTATTTTCGCTACCACGGCTTAATCCGGCTACGCGTATTCGCCGTATTGCTGCTACCTCAGAGTAGCCAGTCTGAGATACTCATCACCTTATCATTAAATATATCTCTCAAATAGAAATATTATTTTTCTTTGAATGTAATAGCATATCTATAAAAAAAAAAAAATTATATCTGTTATGAAGTATCCTTATAATTTCCACCTCATTAAAACCCAACGACATTCTCATTACAAGAATAATTATTAAAAACACATGTATACATTTAAATGAAGTTTTCCATTTTATATTTCTTTACAAGTGTTCAAATAATATAATCTGTTGAGGTCCGCCTATGACCTGTGATGCACCCTCCTTGCCCTGCCTCATGTTCTGTCTCGGGTGGGTCCTGTAGTATGGGCCAAAACGTGCCAAAGTGTCCTCGTTTTATAGCCATTTTAATTGTTTCTATAGTATAGTAGTTACTATCCTAGTGTCTCATTTTTATTTTACTTAGTTTACATGCTTTTAATAATTGTAAAGCGCTTAGAGCTTTAAGGTAAGCGCTANCCGATCTCCCACCTTAATAACCCCCTTCCTTACCCTCCCCCCCCCCCATATACACTCTCCTCACCCCCAGTGGCGTAGCGAGCGTTATGCCGCGAAAAGACACTAAGCAGTTGCCCGAAAATGCCGCCCCTCAATATAAAGAGAAAAATTTCTCCCATGGGGGAACCTCCCCCTCCGAGCCCCCCCCCCCAGAGGCGAAGTGATGGTGTTTGGCACCCGGGGACAAGATTCGCGCCCGGGGACAAGATCAATTTTAAAGCGCCCCCTTTTCTTTTCTTCAACTCTAAAACCCATTATTTTGACCAATAATATAATATAAATGCACATTTTGGCGCCCCTAACTAGCTGGCGCCCGGGGACATCTGCCCCCCTGCCCACCCTCGCTACGCCTCTGAAGCCCCCCCCCTTCGTACGCCACTGCTCACCCCTCACTCATTCCCCCAAACATTTCTTTCCTTACATCTACTTTCAAACTCAACGTGTAATGTCTTCCCCTTGACTTACCCATACAGAGCACAGAACTAATGATGAACAGGATCGGTAGGTCCATTGTTTTGTAGGCAGTCACAAACTCAAACCGTGCTGCGCGATGGCATGACACAAACTGACACATCGGACCGACGCCATGTCGACCTACATTTGACGAACTACCAGAGGCGTGGCAGCCAGGAACAAAATAAGTTGACCGGGGAGGGGGGGGTAGTTATATTACAAAATAAGTCTATCTATCCATCAATCTATCTATCTATCAATCTATCTATCTATCTATCTATCTATCTATCTATCTATCTATCTATCTATCTATCTATCTATCTATCTAAGATAGATAGATAGATAGATAGATAGATAGATAGATAGATAGATAGATACTATCTATCTATCTATCTATATATCTATCTATCTATCTATCTATCTATCTCTCTATCTATCTATCTATCTCTCTATCTATCTGTCTGTCTGTCTGTCTGTCTGTCTGTCTGTCTGTCTGTCTGTCTGTCTGTCTGTCTGTCTGTCTGTCTGTCTGTCTGTCTGTCTATCTATCTGTCTGTCTGTCTGTCTGTCTGTCTGTCTGTCTGTCTTTCTATCTATATATCTGCCTGGCTGTCTGCTGTCTATCTATCTTTCTATATCTATCTATATATATCTATATATATCTATATATTTCTATATAGTTATCCGACTTTATCTGCGTTTAAAAAAAAATAAAAAATTACTTTTATTTTAATTACTTTATCCCCCACCGACATTGTGGTCACTGCTAGATTCACCCTATGGTTTTAAAAACAAATAACTCTTTCCATGGTACGGATGGCTGCCTCACGTGACACAGCTATGATGAAATGCAGTCAAGGTCCCCCCCCCCCCTTTTTTTCTGATCTTAAACGGTGAGCTTAACTGCATGCACTGTCGCCTCGACGATCGATCGTCGGGTGAGTGCAGACGTGTGGTGCACTCCTCGGGCTGTTTGCTGTTTGCAGTACTTTGGTTCATTTACCGCTTCTCTGTGTTGACATCAGCTCACCCCACCCACCCCCCCCAACCTCCCCTCACGTGATTTGTTCAGTGATTATTTCAGAAATGTTCCCCGGGGGGGGGCACATTAGAGGGTTTTTTTTGGGAAGGGGGGAGCAGTGCCAGCAGTGCCTGTTGATTTATTGATATATTTTTGTGAGGGTTTTTTTTGGGAAGGGGGGAGCAGTGCCAGCAGTGCCTGTTGATTTATTGATATATTTTTGCTCCGGTGGGGGGGGGCACTTGGCTTTCCCCGGGGAGTGGTGGGGGTTGGCAGTGCCCTCCCCGGAGATAGAGCTGAAAGAAACCCTGGGTATGTTAGTGAGTGGTGTTGGTTTGTTTTCCCCTTATGACATCACTTCACATCGCTCACAGGCATAGTCTTGCAAGCACTCTCTATGTATCAGGATCTCAACCCAAGAGAAGATGCTTGGAACTTATAGACGCATTGCTAGGCTGACGGTTCAGACATTTTATCCGTTAAAGACTTTCTCTCTCTGTTCGCATTTTCATCTTAAGTGTGGATGGAGCTTTATTATTCTTCTTTTTTTTTTACACACGTGACATTTTAAAGATTTCTCGCTCAGTGTTCACCTGGTGAACGGCTGGAAAAAAAAATCCTGGGTCGACTAAGGCGGGTTGAGACGGTCTCTCGAGCTCTCGTGGTTGACCGCGTCTGCTTCGCGGTTGATTGAACGGGTGGGTGGGGTGAGCTCAGGTCTAAGTTTTGGAAAGTTTTATTCCTAGATACAGATTTAATTCACTTCAACCGAGATTTCGCATGCATAGAAAATAGCTCTAAAAATAAATTCATTCATCCCATGTCAGTTGCATGAAACAAAACGGTTGAAAGGAGGAACTATTTCCATTGAGGAACCACCCCAGAGGCGTATCTAAGAGGGGCCAGGGGGGACAGATGTCCCTGGGCGCCACACTAGTTGGGGCGCCAAAATCTGCTTTGATATTATTTTATTGATGAAAATAATGGGTTTGAGAGTTGAAAAAAAAGAAAAGAAAGGGAGGCGCTTTAAAAGGGATCTCGTCCCCGGGCGCCAAACACTCTGGCTACGCCTCTGAACCACCCCCTTCCTCTCTCCCCACAAACCATTACGATTACATTCCTAATAAATAAAAAGTAATGTTGAAAACATAATAAGTAGAATGAACTGATGACATTTTGTTTTGTAGCAATAACTTTATTGATTGTCAAATAAATTGCGCAGTGAATTGTTTGAATGAACTGACTAGAAAATACTTCAGAAGTTTATGTAGAGGGGGCAGGGGGGCAATCATATGAAATATATACTAAAATGGATAGCACCCAGAAAATTGCTAAACTTACCCATGGGACTTTGTGGGGAAACAAATTCTTATAATACTGTAATTTTTCAAATAGTTACATTGTAATTTTTAAAAAAAATGAATTTGCGATCTGATACAGTCTAATTTTCTTTTTTTAAAAACGTATTGTTTGAAGTGAAGTTCCCGTAATGTTTGGATACCTCACAGACGTCATGTCGACAATGCTGTAGTTGCCAGCAGCCATGATGTTGTTAGCAACGCCGAGAGGAGAAAGGGGCGTAGCTTTGCGGCGGTGTTCCTGGATGCGGCAGGCTGTCCGGTTTGTACTGTCCCCTGCTCGGATTTGTTGGCTATACGACAATAGGACACAGGTATGGGACAATAGGACACATTTATAGGACAATCGGATACAGGTATAGGACACAGGTATAGAACAATAGGACACAAGTATAGGACAATAGGACACAGGTATAGGATGATCGGACACAGGTATAGGATAATCGGACACAGGTATAGGACAATCGGACACAGGTATAGGACACAGGTATAAGACATTAGGACTTAGTACACAGGTATAGAACAACACGACACAAGTATAGAACAATGGGACACAAGTATAGGACAATGTGACACAAGTATAGCATAATAGGATGCACATATGAGAACATAGGACATAAGTATAGAGTAGAGCAATAATGACAAAATTATAGGACAATCGAACTAAAGTATAGGAAAATAGGACACAAGTGTAGGACAATAGGATCAATAATAGGACGATAGGATACAAGTATAAGACAAAAATGTAAAACTATAGGACAATATGAAAGCACAATCATGCAATTGTACCAGAAATTACGATTGTATAACAGTAAGACACGAGAGTCAAATCATCGGGCACAATTATGGTACAATAGAGCACGCTATTTGGAAATATTTGGATTATAGAACACTTTAAGAGGACTGTTGGACACAATAGTTGGACAAAATTATTGGACGCTGTGACGCCTGTTATAAAACAATAGGTGAAATGTAAACAGAACATTGGCTAACTAAAGATAGGACAAATGTAAAACAAATATAGGACTGTAGGGCATGAGCCCAGGACAAATCTAGAACAAGTATAGGACTAGAGGGCGCTATTACAGGACACAGAGAAATCCACAACGATTTAATTGTACAAATCATTTCACGGCATTTAATTGGATCTTCCACATGCAACGTGAATATTGCACAAGACTAGACAAGACAAATAGATATATAGATTACACTCGACCAATATACTACACCAGATAAGAATGCACCATATTATATAAATAAATATACATCAGGGACCGGTGGACAAGTTTCCCATTACACTATGGACCGGTGGACAAGTTTCCCATTACACCAGGGACCGGTGGACAAGTTTCCCATTACACCAGGGACCGGTGGACAAGTTTCTCATTACATCAGGGACCGGTGGACAAGTTTCGCATTACATTAGGGTCCGGTGGACAAGTTTCGCATTACACCAGGGACCGGTGGACAAGTTTCCAATTACACTATGGGCCGGTGGACAAGTTTCTCATTACATCAGGGACCGGTGGACAAGTTTCCCATTACACCAGGGAGCGGTGGACAAGTTTCTCATTACATCAGGGACCGGTGGACAAGTTTCCCATTACACCAGGGACCGGTGGACAAGTTTCTCATTACATCAGGGACCGGTGGACAAGTTTCACATTACACCAGGGACCGGTGGACAAGTTTCTCATTACACTATGGGCCGGTGGACAAGTTTCTCATTACACCAGGGGCCGGTGGACAAGATTTTCATTACATCAGGAACCTACCAGGGACCGGTGGACAAGTTTCTCATTACATCAGGGACCGGTGGACAAGTTTCACATTACACCAGGGACCGGTGGACAAGTTTCCAATTACACTATGGGCCGGTGGACAAGTTTCTCATTACACCAGGGACCGGTGGACAAGTTTCTCATTACATCAGGAACCGGTGGACAAGTTTCAAATTACACTAGGGACCGATGGAAAAAAAATTCTTATTACACCATGGAGCGGTGGATAAATTTTCCATTACATTAGGGACCGGTGGACTACTTTCCCATTACACCAGTGACCATTGGACAAGTTTCCCATTACACCTGGGACCGGTGGACAAATTTACAAAAAGACAATCTTTGATTTTTGAAGTGTCTTATGAAACGAGTCTCAAACATGTAATCGTACTCCCCCCCCCTCCCCGCCTTTCCCTGTTTCAGTTTCTTGACTAGTGTTGTGCGCGGCCCGGCAACGTAAGGCTTGCGGACCGAGCGTCGGGTCCGTGGACCACCATTGGGGTGGGGGGGGGGTAGAGAGATTGGGGGGGGGGTGCTGGTTTCTACTTCACAACACACATTTACCTTTCGGTGCTTGTTTGGTTAAATCCGCTTCACCTAAGTGAAACAAAATAATGTAAATAAATTAAAATTTGTGTTAAAATTTTGTAGAAACTGATCATCTAATAAATAAAGTGAAGCAACACGTTGTTGTTGTTGTTTTTTTGTTGTTTTTGTTTTTTTTGGTGTGTGTGTTTTTGCTAGCTAATAACGTTTAATTTTTAATTTTAGCAAACGTGAGTTATTTAATTTTTCAACACTCGCCATCTTGGTTGCCGTGACCCTCAACCAAGATGGCGGCCGTGTTATACGTCACAGTTACAGCTCATCGCTTTTACCATTTACCAAGGTTTTCACATAAAACTAGGGTTCCCATTTAAAAAAAAAAAAAAATTAAACAAAAATAATCATAGAAATATTACCATTACCCTATTTGTTGCATTTTCCCACAAAACTATTTATCTTTCCATTTGCCTTATTGAAATTTTATTTTTGAAAATAATATCAGTGTTCGCAGCTGATTTTGTGATATATACATCCGATGCCAGCAAGATGTCGAGCCAAAATGAATATAGGATTGCCAGCCGACAGACAAGATGGCATTCTGGCATCTGGTAGAAGACCGAAGGCCTCAATCACTTTCGGCCGAAACCGAAAATAAACAGAAACGTATTTTTTTTATTTCGGCCGAAACCGAAACCACGCCGAAAGTGATTAAATGGCAACTTTCGGCGCCGAAACCAAAACTGAAGCTGAAATTCGGTCAGCCTCTACTTCACATAAGCACACATGTCTTAAAGACTGTTAGACTTCACATAAGCACACATGTCTTAAAGACTGTTAGACTTCACATACGCACAAACGTGTTATTGACTGAAAAACTTCTCATACGTAAATCTCATATTGACTGTAGGACTTCACATACGTACGTGTCTCATTGACTGCACATACGCACATTTCAAATTGATGGACTACACATTTGCACATCTTAAATTGATTGACATATTGACTACACATATGCACATCTTAAATTGATTGACATATTGACTACACATATGCACATCTTAAATTGATTGACATATTGACTACACATATGCACATCTTAAATTGATTGACATATTGACTACACATACGCACATCTTAAATTGATTTACATATTGACTACACATACGCACATCTCAAATTCATGGACTACACATACGCACATTTCCAGAAGATGCCGTAGACTTGCTGCTGCACAACCATTGTCTTCCGGATGACGTCGATAGAACAAGACTGATTAATCTGGTCTAGACATGCCAAGCCTCGTTCAAGAGTTCTGACATGAAATAGGATTAACTTACACTTTAAACCAGGAACTTGTCAAGGCTCTTTAAGAACATTTTCAATATGTAACTATAGGAGCTCCCTTTGACACACGTTATGACTTGTCTCACAACCTCTTACAATCAAACTCCTATTTACCCATCCTACAACCTCTTACCGATCTTACAACCTCTTACACATCTTACAACCTCTGACACATCTTACAACCTCTGACACATCTTACAACCTCTTACGCATCTAACACCCTCTTAACCATGTTACAACCTCTTACACCTCTTACCCGTCCTACGCACCTCTGACCCACCCTACCACCATCTCAACCATCTCAACCATCTCATCGGCTCTCGCCAGTCTTAATAAACCTATTGTAGCCATTCGATAGCTCTATCGAAACCGTACCCACCAATTTGAAATCGGTGTGGACTTGGACAGGACGTCCTTCAGCTCATTCGACACATCTCCAAAGTGAGAGATTTTTTTTTACTGCAGCCCGAGGTAAAGACGTGATTTCCGTAGCTCATCGTGGGCGGAAAGTTATGGAGCTGAAAACAAAACACAACATGTGCATATGATGCTCTTGAACACTGGTGTACTCACTCGCACTGGGTCGGTAAACTTTGCTGTTCGTAGTTGTCCATTAAAGACTTGCACTCGGTGAACAAGCTGTCACAAACGTTGTCGGTAGCTGAGGGAAGAGAGCAATCGAATGTGATATCAAGGGCAAAAAAAAAAAAGGGGGGAGAAATAAAGGTAGAAGCTGTGGGAGAAAAAAAAAAGGGGGGGGGG